ACAATATAATACTGTTGCAAAAAAAAGCCAACATCGTTCTGGGATGCATTAGCCGAAGTGTTGTAAGGAAGATACAAGTAGTAATTTTTCCACTCTACTCGGCACTCATAAGGTTCTAGAATAGCGTCCAGTTCTGGGCACCTCACTTCAAAAAAGATGTGGAAAAATTGGAGATAACCTAGAGAACAAAAAAGGTTTAAAGGCCTCGAAAACATGACCTATAGGGAAAGACTGAAAAAATTGGGTTTGTTTAGTCTGGAAAAGGGGGGGAGGGGGGAAATGGAGAAGTCTTCAAGTAGGTAAAAGTTGTTATAAAGAGGAGCGTGATAAATTGTTCTCCTCCATTGTGGACAGGACAAGTAATGGACTTAGATTACAGCAAGGGAGGATTCAGGTTACACATTAGGTAAAACTTCCTAACTGCAGGAGTAGTTAAGCACTGGAACAAATTACCGAGGGAGGTGGTGGAATCTCAGTCACTGGAGGTTAAGATAAACACCTGTCAGGGATAGTCTTCTATCTAGATAATACTCAGCCTTGCCGCCGTGCAGGGGACTAGACTAGAGGACCTACCAAGGGCCCTTCCCGTCCTACATTTTTATGATTCTATATCTGAAATCACTTAAAGCAGGTTACATATCTAGCCATTTTACAAAACTGCTAAAAATACATCAACGTTTCAGAATGAGATCCACACTAAGTCAGTTCAATCGCATCAGCAAAAATGCCACACAAATCAAGACGACGACATAAGTAAAACACTAAGACTTTATTAAAAATCCAAAATTTATTGCAAATTGTACTTTGCTTCCCTCCTTTCTTCATTTTTACATGATTTATTGATATCCATGATTTTTTCACAGATGTATTTGTTGACTTTGGAGAGTCTCTGTGCAATTTCAGTTTCATCCACAGTTTCTTGTGCTATTCTGTCATACAAACATTCTGGGGGAAAAAGTAAGAGAACAGCAGTTATTTTTAAGAAAAGAATTTAGGCCTGTGCTGGAAATCAGTACAGCAAATAAAACATGCTCAAGGTACTATAGAGCCAGCACTTCATTAGCAACTTGTATATTTTTGTAATTCAGTGTTCTATTGTACAATAAAAGGGTTCTCTGATTCATTGGTTTGGTCCCCCTTATCTGGCACAAGTTTAGGCTTGCCATGTTTGAATCTTTGTAGGGCACAAGCAGCTCACAAGTTATGACATTTCTCTGGCCTCATGAGTAGAAATGGGGGTAAATCCAAACTCATATGGTGTCACTCCTACCCTTTCTGTCATCAATGCCAACCTTAACCCCTTCATTTGTCCACATCTCCCAGAACAGTCTTAAAGCTTCCTTCCAGACGACATAGAACACCCTTACTGAAAATGATCTGTCAGGCCACTACCCTTTCCTCCTTCAAGTCACTTCTACCGTCACACCTACAAGACATTAGCCAAATAATAGTGGTTAGGAGGAGAAGCAGTAGGAGATAGGGGACATTTAGTTCACATTTTAAAAAAAATTATGTAGTATACATTAATATGGCTATATCTTGGTTATACATCTCTTCCCAACCATTTGTATTTTGGTTTAATAGATTGGGGTGGAGATGATCTTGCTTTTGTACAGTACTTTGCATATTGTGGGCTCTGTTCTACTGGAATATAAATACAAAATAATAAAATAAAATCAATGAGGTCAGTGGGAGCTGAGACCACTCTCTACTACCCGCAGATGGCACTTAGCAAGTTGCAGGATCAAATGTTTTTCTGCAATGAATTAGAGAGGTAGCACCCTACTTTCAGCTCCTTAAAATCAGGTGTGCATTTTGTTATGTTTTATAATTGAAATAATCTCTATTGTCGTGTAGGCTACGAGTAATAAATAGCTTCCAAGATTGATTAAACAATCTCTGCTTTGCTTTGGCTAGTAATCAATTTTAGCAGCCATTTATTGCTTCATATTCTAGAAAGCTATAGAGATTATTGCTTAATTAACAAGTTTTATAATGTTGCTAATGCATCGTATTAAAAGTTATGAAAATTAAGTATTATTCATGCTTTGCAGTTCATTTTGAAGCTGCTCAGAAGTTTTATAAAAGGTTATATTTTGCATTAACAAGGTTTATAACAGTGCTCGGGCATCAAACTTTTTATAACTTCTGTATAATATACTACACAGTAGGGATTTTTAAGCAGCAAGAGATGTTAGCCACCTTAAGGGCTAATTCTGTCTTTTTAAAATGTATTTTAAACAAACTATTCTGCGACTAGAAAATGGTGAAAACATCAAACAATATGAATTTTATGGACTCTTCACTGGAAAATGTATTGGCTATTGTTAAATAAATAAAACCAATTGGCAGACAGACTAACGGATGTCAATATGCAGCAAAATATTATTTGAAATAATGTGGCAAACAATGGGGGAATTAACTGTAACACAGATTCATTGTGCTCAAGGCAGAATATTACATCACTATAGAAACTTCAGTAGTATAGCACTGAACTATTAGTAACAAATAGGGGGTTTCTGCCCAAGAGACCTGCCACATAAGTACAGACAATATTGTGACTTTACCACAGCCCTGAACAAGGGATGATGTGTAAGTTGTATTAATTCAAAAGTGGCCCTAGGAGTCACGGTGACTCAGACATACCCCATGAGCCACAATTCCTCCCTGCTTCCTTCCTGCCTGCACCCCAGAGGGCTATAAGGGGGAGTAATTTACTGCTGGTATAAGGCTGCTGGTTTAGCTACTGATCAGTGAGATGGGCTCCACCTATTCCTTGTCGTCCAGCTATGTGGTGGGAGTAAGTAGACAAGTAGCCCCATTCTCTCCTACGCAACTGGATCTGAGATTCAGGTAGTCTGCACAGGTGTGTAAGAGAATTGTACTCCTTTGTTTAGGTGCACAGTCCATGTCATTGGCCATGCACAGCAAGGCCCTACACTCAATGTCATGGCATCCCTGTGTCTGTATTGGGATAACTTTTGAACACTGAATCCAACCAATTTCAAAGTTTCAGGGACTGGTCTAGGCATCAATGGCAGTACCCTGTTGATTCTGGTGAAAACCAGAAAAGCCGGACTTGGAGGAAGATATCAGGCCCACAGACTGCCTGATGTTGCAAGCAGAAGAATCGCTCTGGCATCCCCCGATGCTGCCTACACATATCACAGGCAGCAGGTAACTGGCTGCATGGGGAGATTGTCCACAGTGCAGCAGTTCTCAGCGGGCCAAGCTGTGTGCTAACGGCCGCCAACGTGCCAGGGTCACCAGCCTGCCCCGCATGGCAGGAGTCTGGGGTTAGCGCTGGTGGCTGGTCAGGGATCTGGGGCTCCCACCAGGGTGTGGGGCAGCCATGCGGTGGGGATCTGGACAGTGGCCGGCCCCATGAGCTCCAGGGGCTGGGGCAGTCGGCCCACCCCATGTTGCAGGGTCCGGGGCAGGCAGCCGGGTCCAGAAGTGAGGGCAGCCACGCGGCGGGGGTCCTGGGCAAGCAGCCCCACAGCCCTGCATGGCGGTGGTCCAGGGTCAGGGCAGCTGCATGGGGGCCTGGCAGCTTGCTAGCCCCGTCAAGCCTTGTGGGGTCTGGGGTGGGCCACGGCAGCCATCCCCACAGCGGGGATCCAGGATGGGTGCAGCTGCGATCCAGGGTTGGGGCAGCCATGTGGCTCCAGGTGGTGGGGGTCCAGGTCTGCCAGCCACTCACCCCCACAGGGCAGCTGTGTGGCAGGGGTCTGGAGTTGGGGCAGCCAACCCTGCCCTTCAGGGTCCAGGGTGGGCCTCAGCAGGCAGCTGGCCCTGCGACAGGGGTCTGGGGTCAGGGCAGCTAGCCCAGTGGTTGGGTCTGGGGGCTAGGCAGCAGGGGTCTGGAGTCAGGGCAGCTGTCCGTCCCGGCCTGCCCCAACCAGCCTCATGGTGGGCTGTGGTAGGCAGCTGGCCCCATGGCAAGGGTCTGGGCAGCCACATGGCTCCACAGGGTGGGGATCTGGGTCTGCCGGCCAGCCCCAAAGGGTCTGGGGCAGCCACGCAGCATGGGTCCAGGGTAGAAGCAGCCCTGCTGCAGGCATCTGGGGCAGGTTGCCAGCCCCACAGGGGCTGGGGCAGCCACACAGGTCTGGGGGCCAGGGCAGCCAACTGGCTCCACATGGTGGGGGGGGTCCAAGCTCAGGGTCCGGGCTGCCGCTGCCCTGCCCCCTGCAGCCCAGATAACACATTGTGGGCCACATATGCGGCCCGCCGTGTGTAACAAGTTGAGAACCACTGCTCTAGAAATAAGAGAACTTTATAGGATACACTTTGAGGGATGTGTGGCAAAGGGAGAATGGTGGTAATGAGGGAAGCAATGATCTGAAGAGGTGGTGTGAGCAGGTCAAGCAAGGACCTAGAGTAGTGGTGGGGGAGAGATACTGTTTATAATGAACCCACAGTTTCTCCACAAATATCTGCCCTGGAAGGAGAAGGGACCCTGGTGTGTAAGTAAGTGATTCCCAAGCACAGTTTGAGGAGGAGGGTGCGAAGGAGGGTTCTGGTGGGTAAGGGTGTGAACTAACAGCAGATTAATATGCTGCTCTCTCTCACCACAGACGCAATAGTGTGTGACCCTCTAATAATCTTGCCCTAAGCCCATATGAAAGGAGTGCTGGTGGATGATAGGCAGGTTACCTACAGAAAAGAGCCTGATTTAGGTGCACCAACCAGGCTACAACTCTCAATTGGTAAATGAGTATTAGGTAGAGATCATGAATGAGAAAACAGGATTCTTGTTGCTTGAAGCTATATTGCAATGGAAATTCCCCCTATCAAAAAAATCACTACACTAAAAACCAAAAACAATCCACACTCCATTAGTGATGTAGGTAGCATCTCTATCTTTTTATCAGGTATTTGGAGCAATCAAATTTTTGAATTGCTCCGCTCCAGCTCCACTCTGGCACCAATATTGACTGCTCCAGCTCTGCTCCGACTCAAATTAATTTTTAACTAAATAAAAAGTGCATACTTTGTAATTTTGAAAACACGTTTTTTTATTCAGACTTTTAAAACAATTTAAATGTCAATGATACAAACTAGAATCATTCATAATTCATTCTGTAAAAAATTATTGCCGCAATCAAGTCATCTTTCATAGCCTGCCGCAAATCATTTAAAATTAACTTTAAAGCCGAAAACAGTCGCTCTACACTAGCTTGAGTTGTTGTCATGCTTGAAGCAATTCTACAGGCAGCCTGAATGCGGTGTGGGTAGCTGTGAATGGCCTCAAAAACAGACTTAACTTTTAGCCTACCAATAGACTCCATCGCCTCACAATCTTCCCGAAAGTTTCTCTCAAATAATGCTTCATTACAATTATGAATCGCAGAAACTCGCTGGCGTCTTTCTTGTTTATCCAATTCCTTTTCGAAGTCGTCATCTTCTGAAGAATTGATGCTTGAATTATCTCCATTTCCCCGTGATGGCTGAAGACATCTCACGGATAGACGCTCGAACAAGTTCAGAGGGGAGACTGAAGTTTGAGAACAGCCTGCTACTTCTGAAGGATGTGAACTTTCAGAAACCGCAAATTCGATTGTTGACTCCTTTTGTTGTGTTTCATTTTCTTCAACCTCTTTCGCTGAGTTCAAATATAGCAATAAATTTTGTTTTTCGAGTCGTCGAGCAATATCAAGGAGGCCTTCCCTTGCCTTTGGTATTTCCCTTGAGGTAAGAAGAATCCGATACCGTGGGTCAACATAAACTCCAGCAAGGAAATGAATATTGTCAAAAAGCTTCTCTTCGTGTTTCTGCATGGAGGACAGAATTCCTTCTGCAATTTGTCCACCATTTTCTTGCAAGAATTTTGACAGTTTTCGCCATTCCTTCATTAACACTCCGGGGGTTACATCAACAGCTTGAAGATTCACAGTTGTTTGGTTTGGCTTTGCCAACAGGTCTCGCAGGTTCTTCACTTCGTCCCATTCAGCTTTTGTTAACTTGAGTTCTCTTGTTCCAGCAGCAGCCATTTGTTCACAGTAAGACTGAAAAACGAGAAGCCGATCAATCATCACAAATGTTGAACCCCAGTGAGTCACAGTATCCAATGATTGAGTTACTCCATGTAGATCAAGCAGAACACTTTGAATACTTGGGGTTTGTAGTTTGACAACGACTTGTCGAATTTTTGCCAGAAATTTCTTCGCGTGTTCTTTGTTCAGTCCATCCCAGATTGCCAACTGAAGAGTGTGAATACCACACCTCATCAGTTGGACTTTTGAGTCACCC